CATACTTTCCAATGATCTTTTCATTAATTGATGAGGATTACACATTCATCGCCACTCATATGTCACTGCGTTTCAATTGCAGTCGTGACCAAAGCCGCGGGATGTATCATCATTGACACATCCTCCTTTAATAGACATAACCTGCATCCTCCTTTCTATTTCCCGCGCTTCACATCCACAAATCATTCATTGGCCTTCTTCGTGCGTATATCCGGGTGGCCGTTCCGCCGCCTACGGCGGGCGGCCACCTTACCCTAGTATTTCTTGACGCCAGAATAGCTACAGGGTCCTTCAGATTCGAGCTTAGACCAAAAGAATCAAAGAATATTCGACCATTTTCCTCGAAGTTTTTGCAGCCGCCGAGTCAAGTTTTCAGTTATTTTAGATGGTCACCTAGCTGTCTAGTTGAGCCTGTTACCCACAGGGAGGGATGGGCTGCCCGGCGAACCGTAGAAATACAAGTTGTTGGTCATAATACAACACTAGAAAGGTATGCATTTTTATCTTTGAGTTCATTCAATTCATCATGACAATTTCCGGACTCATGTCATGTCTGTGAAGGCATGAATTGATGTGTCTCTGACAAAGAAGTAAGAACAGATTGAACGGAACTACAACAACAGTAACCACACGTAATTTGCTTCTCCGCCTGCACGAGATTGTGCAGGGTGTCGGCGCGTGTAACGCGTTATCACGCTTGCGGGCTCTCGTCGAGAGCGTTGCTGCACAACGGGTTGACTCGAGTTCCATGTATTGTTGTGAGAGACACCTGGGTGGGCAAGCAGAGCCTACATTCCTTTTTTTCTCCCATCATTGGACTCTGTCGTCTGCCCCTGTGGCCCCTATCCTCCACTTCTACCAGCTAGACGACCCAACCGGGGTCACATAGAGCCCATGTAAGTAACGCCCTCGAAGATCTCGGAGATATGTATCCTGTCGAGTACACAAACAGAGATTGTGGCGCCTTCTGAGTTTCACACCATCTGGTACGCGCCCACACCGCCGCAGTACCCACCAGTAGTGCCGACGAAATACGACTGGACGGGGCGGCGCCGTGTACGACCGATCATATGCAGTTTTCGTTGTACCGTGGTGTTCTCTGCGGCTGGCTCTTTGTGAACTTTCAACTTTCATTGCAAAGGATGCAACCAGGTGTGTTTACAAGGCCTTGTCGCCACAACGACAATGGTTGAACGTTCAATACTATTTATTCGCGATGTTCGGTGGCAGCGAACGATTGGCGGGCAACGGGTGTCTTGGCGGGAATTGCGGTGAATTTGTTGCTCTTGTACTCCGGCGTGGTGGTGGAGAAGCAATGCGCTGATATGAAAAGAGATAGTTCCTTGCAGGATGAACTACATATACTTGCACGCACGTCACCAGCTACTACAAGCGCGGCGGGAACAAGCGCTGCGCACGGATTTCATGGCAGCACAGCTCGACGCTTGCCAGTCATCCGTCTGTGTGAGGCTAGATTGCGCGCTACACAAAGCCAGCAGCCAATCAACAAAGGGGGACATTTCGAAGCGGTAGGCGAACAGCGGACGACATGTATGTCCCCAATCACACGACGTCGTGTAGGTACGTGAATCTCTAATTTACTCTACGATTCAAACTTGGTGTGCAACTGACCAGCCGCAATTATTGCATCTGTTCACATTCTGTTCAGCGGTTCATAGTTAGTTGGAATGCGGGGAGACTGCAGAGGGCTTCAAAACAAGTTGGCCAACATTCAGTACGAGCGAACCTCAACTGAAACTACAGAAGTAACTGTTTCCTTCTGATGCCAAGACAGGCGCGACCACCATGAACCAAATGCGCACCCTAACGCCACCTTGTGCCCCCAACATCTCCCATCTCACGCAACATCCAGGGTTTTCAAGTCTTGACGCAGTATCGGATACATGCGCTTGACAGACGGAGTCACCAGCACCAGGATTGGATACCCAGCCATGAGGGCGTCCTAAGGCCGAAGAAAACAGAAAAGGTCGATCAACACATGCTGATCACCAGCACCACACATACAGAAAAAAAAAAACGGTGGTCTTGTCCAGCGAAACCAGGGCAGGAGGAATACATAACATAACCCACAAGACCAAACACAGAGTCGGCACTTCACCAACACCCCTACTGCGGAAAAAAAAGTCGACCATCGTGCGGGGGGCGAATCACCCACAAAACAACCACCGCGCTCGGGCGTGTTTCGTTCGCTATTTACACGTGCGGAAATCCCACCCAGCTGTGCCTAAAGAGCTGTGAAAAATATATGAACAACGTGTATCAAGAGCCCGGGCACCTCCATCCATGGGCGGATTTTTGTTCCATGGCTTTGCCGGGATGTACAAAACAAAAAAAAAGCCGCAGATACCGAGTCACGGCCTCCTTCCAAAGCCAACCCCCGCTCAAGGACGCCGCACACAACCTATCGACCCCCAACAAGAAGGGTCGGTCTCAAAAAAAATCAGGACTACAAAGTCGCCAGAATGAAGCAGCGCAGCCTACCCCCGCCACAAAAAACATTGCATTTCTTGCGTTCAGAGACGGGGCCCCGTGTATCGACCCCCCCGCGCGCCTTCGGCGACCCGTAGTTATATGATTAATTTTTCCCATCCTTCGCACCCGCCTCCTCATCGGTGGCATCAAGAATCACCTTTCACGCCAGGGTGGGCGGGGAGGCAGACGGGCGCGTGGAGCGGGGAAGAAACAAAATCAGACGGGTGCAAGCAAAAGCTAGGGGCACACGTGCGAGTCAAGCCGCAAAGCCAAGCTTCTGGTAACGAATCATCCGTCCCACTCCCCTGCCCCCATTTCCAACCAGACAGTTATAAGCACTACTGTGTAACTGCCTCGAGGATGCGTGACCATTTTAACACAACGTGGTGCGATCATCCCCCTTGCGCGGAGTGAGGATTCTTCACCCCGCACAACATGATCTACGCGACCACCATTATGGTTACCACCAAAGAAAAACAGAGGTAAAAACAAAAACCGGTAACCTGGTTGCCGAGTTCACGAAGTGAATTGGCTTGTTTTACAACGTCGTTGCCAAGCGACGAAAACCCAANCACCAAAGAAAAACAGAGGTAAAAACAAAAACCGGTAACCTGGTTGCCGAGTTCACGAAGTGAATTGGCTTGTTTTACAACGTCGTTGCAAAGCGATGAAAACCCAGCCCCAATAGCAAACGCAAACACCGGAGGGGGGTTGGGAAGTGAAGCTTCTCGACGTGTCACGGCTCTGGAGACCTTGTCAGACTCAGCGGCATGCACACCACACGATCATCGTGAATCCCCGTTCCCGTCGAAAAATCCATTACCATGACGCCGTCCAGAGCCCCAACGGCCCGCACAATCAGCGGTGGCTGCTACTAACCCTCAAAACTCTTAAGGATATGAAACCCAAGAAACGTTGGGAGAGAAACGACAACCGAATCCTTGGAAGACCCTCACCCAGATGCAAGCTCAGTATTGTTTTATCGGCGGACTCAACCACATGACCACCTTCACGAGAATCATGTGCATGTGACCCTGCTTGTACGCCCAGTGCTCCGCCGTCCTGTTCCTCCTGTCCCTTGCCGACGGATTCGCCCCGTGCTGCAAAACACCACGAGAGGCACGGGAGGGGAAGAGGGATAGTGTTTGCGTCTATCGCGCCGCTGCCTTGAAGAATAGGAAGTGTCGGTAGACTCTTCTCACACTCGGGGTCGAACAAGGGAACCAAAAGGGTGTAGGGAGTCTGCCATTTCCGCCCGTCCACCATTCAAATAGAGGGGAGCGGATGAACAATCAGGCAGACATACATGCCAAATATCAAATAACATACCATTGATCGGCACCGAATGTTCGCATGTACTAAACACCACACGACACCACATTGTTTCGAAACATAGTCACCGAACCCGAGCGAACAGTTCGCAGGTGGTGTCATACCCGACAAGCAAAAAAAAACACAAGAAGCAGCATAATTACCGACTGCGATCTATGGATGGAGATGGATTTTTTTTGTAAATGTAAGAAGAATGGAATGTCAATATTATCCCGAGTCGAACCTTCATGAGCATGCGAACAATCTTCACGGAGCCCGAAGCTGCCCCGTGCATCAGGGCCGTCTCTCCCTTTGAGTTTGCGCGGTTCACCTTCAACGCGCACGAGACAAACCACACGGAGAGCGAGCACAAAGCAATTGAAATAATCCAATCCAATCGAATCCAATCCAATCCAATCCAAGAAACGCGCAACTTTCCGCGGAAGTGACGCATCCCACATCGAAGGACTACATCAGGACTGGTATCTTGCAGTGAAATCAGAGGAACGACCTGTAATATCTCGGGCTCTTCGCTGTTCATTTCGTATGTACTTGCTAACAAATTGTTGTGGCAGCACTAGATAATGTAGCATCGCAAGACTTTGGGTTGAGCATGTGAACGGGGAAGTGAGTTGTTTCCCTTCAAAAAAACGGGCATGGGGCAACGGTGAGAACGATTCTCACACCCAAGAGCACAACATCGAAACTTAATCCTTGTGCCAAATAGCAACACGGCGTTGTACATTCGTGGGACTCATTGGAAGCAGCTACTCGTGGCGGGAAAATCTGAACTTGCTACAAGCACATGATAGGTTCGACCATATTAAGCAGGTCATGGGACCAAAAAACACGGAGCGAAGTCAGTCCTCACCTGAACCCCTGGACACTGCAAAATTATTCTCACGCACTCGTCCCGGCCGTTAGCACTAGCCGCGATCAGCGGGGTGAGATATGGGTTGGACGGGTCCACGTAGTTGAGGCTCACGTCTTGCTTCACGAGCCCGTTGAGCAGTACCAGCCGCCCCTGTTGATGGCAGCGTTGTGTAAAATTGGTGGCGTCACGTTAGTGCCATCGTTCGATTTACTTCGATGCACCATGATGTCAGGGTCAAGTCAAGAGTGTACGCCCTCTGGTATATGGTCAGTGACTCCGGAAATCGCCCGCGTTGGTTCGGCCAGAACGGACGGTATCGATAGGGACCGGAACGATTTTATTACTGTGGAGACAACAACAACAACAACAAATACAACAACAACAGTAGGAGCAGCAGCAGCAGCACCGACAGCAGCAACAGCAGCAGACGACAACAAACAAATTAAAGCACCTCCGACGCAATCTCCATCAGGTCCATCTTCTTGGGGTCCGCGCTGATGATGCCCGCGATGTGGAGGTGGCCTGCAGCGATGGCCAGATCAGAAGCGGTTTTCCTCCCGACGATGGCCTTGTCCCTCTTGTGTCTAGCGGCTCCGTGGCTGATGAGGCGAAGCACGCAACCCTCGCTGCCGAATCTTGCGGCGTGCATGAGAGGGGTCCTGCCCAACGCGTCCCTCACGTCCACCTGAGATGACCCCGTCAAGTAGACAGATGAGGTCACCATCGACAACACAAATAAAGGGGAGTGGACAATCCGTTGGTCTTTCGGGTGAGACTCGACAACACTTTAAGTCTCGCCGAGGAGAAAAACTTTGGATAAAAGCGGGGGTAACGCCCCCCCGAAAAAAACAAGACGACTGCTTGCCCGTCAAGGAAAAAAAAAAAAAACGGCGTGGCCCGATATCCTAAACGCACAGAGCAAACACGTCGACGGGGCGAGAAAACACACACGAAAAAAAAAAACGTACGCAAACAACAACCTTTTTTCCGATTGTCGCACAATTCCACAAACAACCACGACAACGGTAACGCAAACGATTCGTCTACATGGAAGGAGTTTCGCCGCACCTTTCCGGAAGCGTCCGATATAGCGCGGGTGACATAGCTTGGCATTACCGCAGTACCCGCACAATACAGCCCCCCCATTCGCTGTACAGGACTACGTAGGAGCAACGCACCTTGACGGAAGGGTCTGCGAGTAGCGCCTCGATCACCCGGTTCCTGGAGAATATCGCCGCCGCCGCTAGAGGTGTGAGGGCGTACTCCTCAGGCTCCAAGGCAGAACGGTACTTGTTGGCTCGCGCCATGATGTCGGGAAGGTCTGCAACCCGCGGGCTCTCGAACAGCCGCTTCATCGAGGTAATTCGGCACTCGTTTCCCGATATACCCTTTGTTTTGTGCGCGAACGAATGAAACAACAGCTTAAATCACGGGGTTGACCAAAATCCAAGCACGCGAATATCCGAAAAAAGGCTGTTGTTGTTACATATGCTGTCCACTGTAGATCGTGTTGAACAACCTCTGGGTGATTCTTCGGCTGTTGCCGGAGTGAACGAGGATTCACTGCGTGACAACACACGCACCAAAAGAGAGAGGACACGTACTACTACTTTATCTCATCATGAAACGACGGCATCTCCGGAATTACTAAGCGATTCGTCCAGTATCGCTACGGCCACGTCAGCGGTTCGCAATCGATAACAAGCTCGATCCACCCTCCGTGGGTCGCCATGTACCACCTACCAATCACGATTGAAAGCTGCTTCACTTCACGAGACTTCCATGAAAACCACAACCCGCAGAGAAACTACAAGCGTGTCTCAACTATTTTCAACATCATGGGAAAATCGGAAGCTTGTGTGTGTAGTCTACGCATGTCACGTACGCGTACAACAACATCCATCTTTTCTTTTCGCACCTGTCGCATCAGCGCCCAGACCTCGTGCACCCTGCCAGCGGCCGACGACTCTTGAATGGTGCTCACCGAAGGGTCCACCCGAAGAATGCACGCAACCTCGTCGTGCCCCGAACTCTCGGCGAAGCGTAACGCCGTCCTGCAGCAGCGGAAACCCGGGGTGCATGAAATGTTCGAAATGGACGACGCACCTCGCAATGCCAAGCTGTCATGCTTGGGAAGGGCCTCACCATTTCTTTTTTCAGGGAGCTTGTGAACAAGCATACAGAGTGCCGCTAAAATCAAGAGTGCGCGCTTCAACGCGACCGGTGAACGGGTCGTAATGAGATTGCAGCACGCCGCACTTCGTGGGAGAATGACTCGAGAATATCTGTCGAACACGGAATTCGACTGCGCCCCGTCCATTTTCACCCCAAGTGCAGGAACGTTCTATGATAGCACCAAAAAGACAGGCGCACACGCAGCACAGTACACGGATGTATTTCTCACCTGCCCTGGCTGTCTACACTCCTTCGCCCCTCCGGTTTCAACGCCTCCAGGAGCATCAGAACCACCTCCTCCGTGCCGAAGCCCGCGGCGTACATGAGAGGCGTCTGCCCCAGGAGGTTGGGGAGGTGGGCGATCGCCCCCGCCGACAGGAGACGCTTCACCATACCTGCGTGGCCCTGCTCCATGTACGCATGGGCGACGACAAGGGGATGGTTTGAACGGGGGTTCAAGTCTTGTAATGCGGAGGTCCCCCTGCTTTTGAGATAGCGACCAAGCAGCATGGATGTCCTGATAGCAGCGGGACATTGGCTAGGCAATTGTAAGGTAGACCCTGTTCTCTTTTGTAGGGTAGGTGCTGCATTCCTCTTAATCTTTCTCGCTCTCCCCTTCTTTCTCTCTCTCTCCCTCTTTGGAACACTCGAAGCAGCACAAAATCTGTGACAACCAACCAACGCAGACGAAAGCTGGACGAACCAATTCAGTCGCACCCACCAACCCGGCTAACTTACACCAACCTAGATCTACCACCAACGAAGCAGAGGAGAAAAAACGGGGTCGCCGCAGACCCAAAGCACCTACCTGTGAGCACGCCGCAATTAGAGGAGTGTAGCGCTCGTGGTGCCACCCTCGGTAGGTCCTGATACGGTGCCGGCTGTCCACTTGCACCCCCTGCGCCAACAGCCCGTCCAGAGCCGCACCGTCGTCGTTCGCAGCGGCTGCGCAGATCGAGAGCCTCTCCGGGTCGTACCTGTATGCACGACCAGCAGGCAGTTGCACGACAATGGGGGGGGGCGGGGGGGGAATGCACCACTTGGCGATGGTCACGCTGCTTGGTTGCCAAAACCCGTACCGCTCGACAACTGGGCGCCTGGTCCACAGCTGCTCCATGTTTGTACCGGCAAAAACGTTCGGATTGCGCAGGGAACAATCGGTGGGAGTTACATCGATTGGGGGGGAATCCCTCCAGCTTACGGGTCGCGGCAGCTTCGTAAGAACTTGGGCGGTTGTTCCGCGTGGGCGATGTCTGCGGCCATCGGTGTCATGACCTCCGTGTCAACATCAACATCAAAAATGGTAACCTCACGAAGAGCCGTATCGCTAGCGGGTTCGCCTTTTGGCCAAAGAAAAGGCATCAAAATTTCAATTAACAAGCCGGCAATAAGGCACGGAAATTCCACACGGGCCGGGAACGCTCGCATTCTGAACTCTAAACGTCTTCCCCGCTACCTCCGGGCATATTTTTCCGACCGGGTTATCTACCACACGGCGCATCAGACATCACACACCCAGGACCGATCACTATAGCTGCAATATCGCACGGCAGAAGGAGTGGCGGTGCCGAGAAAGGCGGCGTTTAAACCGTCTCGTCTAGAAAATCTTGCCGAACACGCATGCCTTCATGCATCTTCGTGGAGCAACCGACCCCTGAACGTCTGTCCAGGGGGTGGGGTATCTTACGTCACCTGCGGCATATACTTCATCGGTTTGCACGCGCCCGCGACTCACTTGAGCACGTTGACGACGCTCGTGTGCCCCCGCACGGCGGCTATCTCGAGGGCGGTCTCCCCCTGGTCATTGCACCGGTACCGGTCGGCCCTCAGGCGCAGCAGCAAGACGGCCATCCTGTCGTGCCCGGCCTGTGCGGCGTACATGAGCGGGGTCATGCCGTGCCTTCCGGGCCCGTTCACGTCGGTCGTGCGGTGCGATAGAAGCGCCGACGCCATGTCCTCGTCCTTGTTGAGAGTAGGAGGGATGCGTTGAAGGGGAATTAGAGGGGCGTATCGGTGAACACGAGGAAGGGCTTGGAGGGCGCATCGTCAACGTTTCAGAGGGATATCGTGAGTGGGAGCCAATCAGCAAGTCTTGGTGAAAGTTGTCACAAGGAACGCCAAGAAGGCTGAAAAATGCCGTGAGACCGCGGACATCGTGAGAGGGACGAACAACCACGACGTGGGAGTGAAAGCAGGTGCGTTGGCCAGGAAGTGTGCATGATTGAATAAATAGGGCACGGTGGATAATAGACAACGTACGGTGAGACATTAAGACTAAGGTGAATGCTGGGCAGCCGTGCAAACTACCCAAGCGGGACTCTCAGTGAAAAACCAATAACACAATTGAGAAAAAAAAAAATCATGCGCTGCCACGGCTTCCGTCAAAGAGCCCACAAACAGAAGCGTGCAAAAGGAGTCAACCCATACCTGGTTGAAGACAGCGGCGATCAGAGGGGTGTAATTCTTCTCCGGGCAAGCGGTGTTGGGGTCCACCCCCTGCTCCATCAGAGCCAGAACACCCCGGACGTCGCGCCCCCTTGCCAACAGGAAAATCTTCACCTGCGGAGACGCACGCCGACAACGGCGAAGAATAAGTCGTCCAGGCTTGCATACATACGCACATTGGCAATCCGGCAATGGCAACTACTAACTTGGTGTGAGTCGTTGCACCCTCCTCTCTCTCTCTCTCTCTCTCTCTCTCTCTCTCTCTCTCTCTCTCTCTCTCTACCCACCTCGCTCTTTCGTGACAATGCTTTGACGTGCACGGCCAGACGTTCGTTCTCAGCATGTTTTGCTCCCTCGCAGGTAAGAAAAGGTCGCATTTTGCATCCCTCCTTCTCTTCTTCTGGCACATCGGCAAAAAGACTTGCCGGACATGGGGCTGGCCATGGCCATGCTCGATACTCGTGCCTACTGCGGCTGTGGAACACACTTGACGATGGAGAGTCAAACCTCTCTCAACAAGACACACGCGCAACATATTCACGATCCGACAGCTGGAGCACAAAATATATAAAGCGTGAGAGAGAGAAAAACGGAAACACAGCCATGAGTGGTCAAAGTCTCCTCGCCTTGTTGGGATCGAAGAGCAATACGTCCAGCAGCCTCGTGCTACCAAAGCGCTCCGCCCAGTCCATGGCCGTCCTGCCCTCGTGATCGCGAAGGTGACGATCTGCCCCCTTGGCTAGCAGCTTCACCGCCGCCGCCACCTGGCACACCGCGGCACACCAGCAACAAGCAGCAACGAGTTCATTAAAGCACCATGATGATAGAATTCATGTGACGGCTATCGAAACCGACACACGGTAGAGGAAACATATGAGCACCGGGGGAGAAAAGATGTGCACACTGAACACGCGTCCAAAAGAGCAGAATCGGCCTCGGCCGCATAACCAACGGATTCACTACCGACCCCCCCGTACCCCCAATAAAACACGTCTGACCTGCGTGTCTCCAGTAGCGTAGCCCTCCCTCTGCGAGCAGTACATGAGCGCTGTCTCTCCTCTGGCGTTGGGCAGATTGGGATCGCACAACGGGCTCTCCAAGAGTGACTCTAGAACCTGACGTCACACAACCATAGAAAGCGACGTGTTGCACCAACCTCATGCTCCGAACAGGTATTGTCAAAATGAGGGTGGGATGGTGTAAAAACAACCCGACAACAGCAATCTCATACATCCCCTCCACTTGTGCACACCGACGCTCAGCAACGCCCCCATTCCGTTGGCGTGAGAACGTGAGAAAAAGGAGGACGAGCGAGTAAGTACGATTCAGGCTGTTGTAACGTACATGTTCCTCCTGGAAGTACATAGTCGAGTGCTTGTGCTCTTCTTTCCCACACGTTAACACAAAACGGCTTCTTGCCGGCACATATTAACTTGTGTAGCTGTGCAAGCACGCATCACCAACACAACCAAATGAGCAGCAATCTCACACAACCTCTTACCACATCGAAGCTGCGCAACGCGCCGCTAGATGTCATAAATACACACCTCGATGTGGCCGAGGAAAGCGGCGGCGATGATGGGCGTGTACTGCCCCGTGTAGTCGGACGTCTGGTTGGGGTCCTGCCCCTGCAGGAGAAGAGCCTTGACGTACGACAGGTTGCCGGCCTTCGCCGCCTGGCAGAGGGTGGCCTTCGCCGGGTCGGCTAGCAGCACGGACGCCACCTCCAAATGTCCTGGTGTTGTGTAGTCGGAGCGGTCAAGGTAAGGGTCGGCCGAATTGAGTTATATCAAGGGTTGTTAGGGGTAGGATTAGGGTTTTGCGGCTGACCACAGGCAAGGAGTTGCAATGGTGTTGGGCACTTCGGATGGGTAGGGTAGGATAGGGTCGACGACGTGTGTAACAGTCTGTTATAGAAATATTCATTCCAGCAGCATCGCAAAGGCGAACACCGACTACTCTCCAAGGCACCTACAAGATACCCACCCTACCCAACACCACTGTCAGTGTCTTACCGCGAAGGGGCGGAGGGAACAGGGGAGCCGCGATACGAAACAACGTTGGTCGCACCAAGGGCAGCCGCAGAACCAACAACAATACCAACCCACGTACAACAGTCAGATGCTGCGTGCTCCCATATTCCTTCCCGCAAGCAACACAGTAATCCACCAGACAGCGGACCAAAGCCATCAGCTCTCATCTCGCCAAATATCTCATCAAGCCCGATCCACCGTGTTCATGTTTTCGTCCAAATGAATGCTCCGTATTCTTATTATTCAATCCGTCCAACCCGACCATAGTACCCCCCGCTGCAGCTTTCTCTTTCAGGTCTCGCTTTTTCTCACCCTGCTGGACGGCGTAGTCCACGGCGTCTTTCCCGTTGGCGCACGCGAGGCGCCGGTCAATGCCGGGAATCCTCAACAGCGACAAAACCGTCGCCATGTCGCCCATGGCGGCTGCCACCATCAAAGCAGACCGACCTCTGTTCCAGGTGCAAGGGAGGAAGGAGAAAATAACCCGAATCAAAAACACGGCTGGCTGGATTGAGAAGTGGTCGAGAGCCCGTGGGTCATATGGACATCGGGAAGGAACGAATAACCGGCATACTTGGAGTTTGAGGTTGCCGCGGCGGTATTTAGGCGAATCTCATCCTAGGAAAAAAATGGCGTACTAGTAAGGTGTCGGCGCGTGCGTGTACACGCGAGAATGAAATGCCGCCTGTTCACGCACGCAGCGACACCTTGTCTGTAATATTTATCCTGGGATGAGATTCATTTCCACATGCGGCAAAGTCAACACCATGTTCAACCACTTGGTTTCCGTACGTATGCTCGATTCACGGCAAAAAAAAAAAAATCACGCCAACTCTTCAAACAGAACTCGCTAGATTAATCTGGCGGCGGGGTAGGCTAACGACGCGCCCATAACCTCGGCATGCGCTTGCATCGATAGAGACTCTCATCTTCATTCAGCACTAACAACGAGTGACTAGAGGCAGACGATACCTCACCGGTCAACTCCATAGTTGGGACAGATCTGCCTGTTCGGGTCCACCATCTTGCTCCAGGCCCCCTCGAGGAGGATCTTGATCACCCCACGCCTTCGGTGTGTAATGGCGGCCGTCAGGACCGTGGACTGCTGGTCGCTCGACAGGCCGTTCGGGTCTGCGCCGGCTCCCAGCCAGTAGGAAACGCTCTCACTGCCGTTCATATTTTGGGGGCAACTAGGGTTGGACGTTGCCGCAGCGAACCGTCTGCCAACACAGTTGCCCTCCTCGCTTATGGCAACACCAATACAGCTGCCCCCCCCC